CACATAGTTCAAGTGTGCCTGAAAATGTAAATAGAGACATTCGGATGGTTTAATTTGGTCTAGCTTTTTCTCCAGACCTTTGCATGAAAACATTAATTTTGTTCCATATGGTACATATATTATCACTTCTTGTCTGTTACCTGTTTAAAACAAAGAAACCCTTTCTTTTACCAATTCCCTGGCGGATAAACTTCAGGTTTTATCTCACCTGTTATTTATTACTTTTATCATTCGTAATAAAACATTTTAAAAAGGTTTCTCCAACGGAACGCGCCTTCAAAAAAGAGGCAACACACAGTAGTTTACTGATGTTCAAATACCATAATCCTTGTTCAATATACAAACCAAGTGAAAGCTGAAGTTAGCTGACTTGTGCATACTGTCACTTCAGAAACTGATATGATGTTTTATTAACAAAAAAAAAATACAGTTTGAACACTGAACTAAACGGAAAATAAAGAGTGAACCATTTAGACCTCCAACATATTATGGTGAAGGGTCCAGAAAATTTAATACACTGCATACAAGGCTAAGGCACCAGCGCAGTCTCCTAAATGCTGACTTGAATTAGATTCATGTAGTGGATGATACTTAATGCTCCTGTGGTGCTCCTGTTGACATCTGTTGTCTTTCTATGGAACAAAAATGATGACTTCTTCATCACAATTGTTTTGATGTAACATTTTCTTTTATAATGTAATCTATCAATACTTAAATCCAATGTATGTAACTTGTATATGTTACATAAATATACATAAGTATTTTAAATGTCATCCATTACTTTATAGAATGCAAACTATATTATAAACAAAGAATATCTCTTGTTAATGATCTTATAGATATGAACATACACATTGATATTGAAACGCTATTATTTGGAAAAGACGAAACTAGCTCTAAAAGTTTTGATGAGGATCTTTGTTTCATTAAACAGTCAAACAGATTTTAACATTCCAAGTCAGCAGTTTTGTCATTTTCTTTTTTGTCTTGTTTGCTATTTTTTGGTGTTTTTTTTCTGCTGCCATGCCAATGTGTGACTCCTTCCTTTGTTTTCTATAACTGACGATTAATTATTTATGTTAGCTGTCATCATATATGTGCATTGTATATGGAAGAAGATGACTTAATATAAGTTATAATACTTTGTGTCCAATTATACTGCTTGATTATTGCAATAAATAAAGGCAACAGTAGTATACCGGTGTTCAAAAGTCATAAATTGATTGAGAGAAAACAAATCCGGGTTACAAACTAAAACCGAGGGAAACACATCAACTATAAGAGGAAAACAATAAACAATTATCAAACTTAATCGAACTACTGTGACTTGACTGTAAGTGTTGCTCTCAACCTATTGCAACTTATTCAAAATTCTGACCAAATTGCAATTTGTTTTATAAAACCAAACTGTTCAACTGGTCAGAAATTTGAACAACTGCTGTAGAAAACCACAGTCAAGTCGTGAAAGTGCAAGGTGATAAAATAAAGCATACTTACCATCCTATAAGACTTTAATTCCACTTCAATGTAATTGTTATTATGAATAATCAGTCTAACAGTTTGTATAGAAATTTTATTGTTATTGTTATGCTAAAGGTGATGGGTAGTAATTTTGAATTGCTATAAAAATGTCCAAACTAAGCTTTCATACAATTTTTCTTTCTAAAAGTCTTCTATATTCATAAGAATCAGACATCATTTGAATTAAAACACTTTATATTCAGTAAAATATGTGTGAAATTACAATACGTTTTTAGTAAGTTTCCATGGGAGATAATCAATTTTTCTTTCGAAAAGTCTTCTAAATTCAAAAGAATAATGTTTTAGGTTATCTCCCATGGAAACTTATTAACAACGTATTGTAATTTCACATATATTTTACTGAATGTAAGATGTTTTAATTCAAATGATGTTTAATTCTTATGAATATAGAAGACTTTTCGAAAGAAAAATGTATGAAAGCTTAATTTGGACATTTTTATAGCAATTCAAAATTACTACCCATCACCTTTAGCATGACAATAACAATAAAATTTCTATACAAACTGTTAGACTGATTTTTCATAATAACATTAAAGTGGAATTAAAGTCCTGTATGATTGTAAGTATGCTTTATTTCATCACCTTGCACTTTCATGACTTGACTGTGGTTTTCTACAGAAGTTTGATCAAATTTCTGACCAGTTGAACAGTATGGTTTATAAAACAAATTGCAATTTGGTCAGAATTTTGAATAAATTGCAATCGGTGGAGAGCAACACTAACAGTCAAGTTACAGTAATAAATCTTGCATTTTATTTTTTATGGATTTTTTTTTTAAATTCTACAGCAGGTACAGAATTTATCATGAGCCATTCATTACTGTTGATTGTAGAGGATTTCATAAACTTGTGCAAATTACAATCGGAATATATATAAATATTCCGATGATGCGGTATGATTGCCAATGAAAAAGACAAACATCAGTACATAAAATATTGCACATTAAACTTTAGATTGACCAACACTGTAGAGAAAACTAAAGATTGAGCAACGCTTTACAGAAACTATAACATTGCAACACAAACTCCTCCATAAGCTGTAGCTGAATGCAGGAGTTCAGGAAGGGTACACATTTCTTGCTCCACAATTAACACCAGTGATGTATCTCCTGTTAAAAACATTTTTTTATGAGTCGTATTGGCTGATAATATAATTTATCAGATTTTTAAATTAAATGTCTTCAAGACATTACCAAATATGTAGGCTACAGATAAATGTAAATTCTCTTACCCTAATACTTAATTAAATGTGAAAGTTTGAAATAATAAGTTTTTTTACAACAAAAAATGACAGACCAATATTTAATTAAACAACAGCACAAAACACTAAACAAAGGCATAATAAAATGCTTCGCTGAGCGCAGCCTGATAAGACCGCAGAGGTCGAACCCTGAACAGTTGGAGCAAGTTTGGACACAATATTCAAGCTTGATACTGTCTGAATTTGGATTGTGATCAAATTTTTTACATAATTTAATTTACCTAGAATGGTCTAATATCCAAATTCTAACAACATGGTTAGATTCAGCATATAAAAAAATACCAATAATTTTAATTTTAGTTGAAATCAAACAAAGTTTAATTTTAGACCCTTCAAACCTTAATATGAACTTATGTGAAAACAGGGCCCAAAATAAAAATCTAAATGCACAATAAGATTCAGCAAATCATACAGCAGCAATAATTCAGTTTTTGATGAAATCAAACAAAGTTTAATTCTGGACCCTTTTGACCTCAATGTAGACCAATTTAAAAATGGGGCCCAATATCCAAAAAAATGCTGAAAGCATATTTGAGTTATTGTCCGAAAACTGGAAAATCCCCCTTTTTGTAATGAATAAAACCCCATAAATCGGAAACGTATCGTCTAAAATTTAAAAAAATAAAAAGGGAGCTGATGTCGATAGAAATAAACAATTCACCAAAGTTTCTTGCAAATTGGTGAAATTGTTTTTGAGTTATTGTCCAAAAACTGGAAAATACCCCTATTTTAATGAATAAAACCCCATAACTCAGAAATGTAAAATCTAAAATTTATAAAATTCTAAAGGGAGCTTACATCAATTCTGAATAGAGATAAACAATTCACCAAAGTTACATTTTCAGCATTTTGAGTTTTTGTCCTAAAACTGGATAATCCCCCTTTTTGTAATGAATAAAGCCCCATAAATCGGAAACGTATGGTCTAAAATTTATAAAAATCAAAAAAGGGATCTCATGTCGATAGAAATAAACAACTCACCAAAGTTTCTTGCAAATTGGTGAAATTGTTTTTGAGTTATTTGTCCACAAACTGGAAAATCCCCCCTTTTTTATTGAATAAAACCCCAAAACTCAGAAACGGTAAATTCCATGCAAAAATATGATGACTTCTTCTTCATTGCAATTTTATTGATGCAGCATTTGAATCTATAAATACTTAAATTCAATGTATGCAACTTGTATATGTTACATAAGCATACACAAGTATTTTAAATGTACATGTTTTTATATAAAAGTGACAATTATTTGATCCTGTGTCATTACTTTAAATTCAATAAAACTGGAAGAATGTTGTCGGATGTTGACCTTTAGACGTCTAGTGTGATTGACTTGGTGTTGTTGAGTTGCTTCGTCCTCTTTTACCTCTACTTTTATTCATCAATATTTATAAATATTGTCATGAAAGTGCTCTTGTTTTGATTTGTGGATATTTAAATGTATAGTCTCAGCATTATTTGTTTCTAGACAGTGTGACCAGCAAATTATTACAATATATTCAAAATGAGAAAGCTATCATGGCCTTTTTTTTTATACATTCATCATAGAATGTAAACATAACAGTTTGCTACTATCCATCTGATGTCCACCAATTGTACAGAAGGTAGAGAAAGCTTTGATCAAATTTTATGTTACCTGTCTGGAATATTTGAAATGGTGTAAGAATGTTCCCTTTTGATTTTTAATTATTTTTCTGTTTGTTGTTCAAAAGTAACAGGGCTTTTACCATCATATCAGGAGCAATATTACACATATTGAGCACTAAATTAAGTACGCTGAAATCGATTTAGTTGGATCTTTAGACTGATGTTGGGATTGGCAAAAAGTAATCACCCTTTTGATTTTGTAAATTTAGAAGTTTAAGTCTTCAACTTTTTGATTGAGGTAAATTTTTCTCATCTTGCAAACTAACATGAGTTTGCTCAAATCTAGTTTTTTTATTAGAATTGGTAAAAAGCTATGGCTATTTAAGACAATTTTTATAAGCCTAAAGATATATTTTCCTGCAAATTTTTCTTTGTGATCATTTTACTGACTACTGATTAAATGCCTACTACAGTATTGAATTTTATTCTTGTAATAATTTCAATATGACAAGTATATATTGTGTTCCTGTTGCAGCTGTTTGTATAAATTGCAAACTCCTTTGAATGTAAGTCTGCTGAGATTTTGAAGTTACATTAAAAACAAAACAATGGATGACATTTTTTTGTTTGTTTTAAACAAAAGCTATAGTGACTAGATACAAAATGCATACAAAAACATCAGCACAAATTAGAAATACATTGACATGTGTTAAATTGCATAGAAAAAGTTTATACTTGACAAGACAAACATTTATAAATGCAAATGGTATTGACATGAGAAGTGAAAGCTGTGAAAACTGGTCCATTCAAGATGAGCACTAATTCTAAAACATCAAAGATTGTCAACAATATGGTAATATAACTATCAGAAGCAAGAGAAATTAAAGGCCTTTTCATCTTAAATAGAAAATTAATTTGAAAAAATCCATAAAGAGATCCAAAAACATATGGAATTCATATTATTTTTTTTCACTAACCATTTCATACACATACTATACACTAAATTACATTATTAAGTAAGGAAATGTAAATAAATAAATTGATTACATACACAATCAATTTTATATAATATTATAATGCTATACCAAGTAGTTAGCATCATGTATACACTAAAATCAAAAGACAGCACATATAAATTAGAAACTGAGATTCAATAAACACAATTTACTTTTGTCTTTGAGAATGCCTTATGTCACAGTGTTAAATTGTACATTGCACTTTTTTAAAACCAATCAAAATATTCTGCAGAGGATTTGGAGTTATCCCCCCCTGAGATGATTATTTTTCTTTCAAAATAAAGATATTCCTCCTTTACAGCTTTTCTATAAAAGCATGCAAAGCAAACCTTTGATCAACTTGCTTGCTATGTTTGCTTGGATGTTTGTAAACAAAAGGGAAGGCAGAGTTTCAGTCTGTTTAATATATACTGGTATTTGAATGCATAGGAACTAAGTTCAAATATACATCAGAGTAAATGAAACAAAAATAGTACATGAAGACTACTTATATCTAACTAACATTTAAAATATAAATACAATATAAATGCTGAAATACTACGAGGTGGATAGCATTCTAAATGTTTAAATGACACAATACAATCATGAACAATTTGTATTTGTTCTAATGGCAAGACTCTAGTACAGTAGGTTTTGTATCCTTAATTGCACAAGTAACTTTACTAAGCAGCCCATATCAAGGAAATGCTTTATTAATCAATGATTCATTTCTAAATTTTAAAATATATTTCTAAGTATTTGTTTAAAGTGAAAACAAAAAAATTAACACTTCTTAACCCTGTAATGATTTTTCTGACATTTCTATTCCCATAACTAAGCCTTTTCTAAGACTGAATTTAATGTTCCCTAATTCTAACCAAAACACTTTTAAAGTTTACTTCACTACAGCATATTGCCATCTATGCTAACTTCATCATTTTTTATGAGATTCTACACTACAACTTATTGAAGTCTTTTGTAACTGTATCTATAATATCATTACAATTTTGGCAGTACTATAATTTATGTTTTAATCAGTGTTTAACGTTTTCCTTTCTTGCCCAGTGTAGAGGAGTGTTGTTGGTAAGCAACCTTTCTGTCATTAAAAGTATTAATTTCATCTTCTAATCTCTTCCTACTGTCTTCTAGTTTCTTCTTTTCTTCTGCATGTTTCTTTTTCAATGCATCAAACCTGTCATGCAGCTGAAAAAAAACCCAACTTTATTTTATTTATGCCTGACTTTGAAATGTAAATAAAAACAAATACTCTTTGATAAACAGAGGTTCACATTTCTCATGCCTAGCTTACAGTATTAATAATAAAGAAAGTGTGCCATAATGACCATTTCTTCTAATAAAAATTTAGTTAAAATAGAACTTTTATTTAAGTATTACACAAAAAATAAATGGGGAATGTGTCCATGGGACACAGATGATGCCCCCGCTTGCATATAACGTTATAAAGGGGCATAACTCAAGAATGGTAAAAGTGACACCACCAAAATTCAAACTTGATCTGTGTTTTGTGGTAATGAGCATTGTGTATAAGTTTAATAACATTTGGTTGAGGCAAACTAAAATTAGAAAACGGAAACTTCAGCAATTTTTCCATAGGTAAAGGGGCATAACTCTAGAACGGTAAAAGTGACACCACCAAAATTCAAATTTGATCTGTGTTTTGTGGTAATAAGCATTTTGTATAAGATTCATAACATTTGGTTGAGGCAAACTAAAGTTGGAGAACAGAAACCAATTTTGGGATGTACAGATGTACAGACGGACAAGGGTAAAACTTAATGTCCCGTCCGCTACGGCTGGGGCATAAAAAATATTTGTTTGAGAGTTTTAAGTCTGATAACCTCATCCTAAAATACAGATATTTAGACAACAGCAGGGAACATTTAGATATTTGTTAGGTATCTTGGCAGTTACATGTTTTCATTACCTCCTTTTCTGTGTCTTTGAGATGAGCTTCCTTTTCTTTCACTCTGATAACAAAAGCTTGTCTCATCTCTTCTTCTTTCCTGCTAAGTTCAGTTAAATGTTGTTGTCTCTTCAGTTCATATGTCTCTGACAGACTAAAATGAAAGGTTCACAGTTCATATGTCTCTGACAGACTATAAAATGAAAGGTTCATATGTCTCTGACAGACTATAAAATGAAAGGTTCACAGTTCACCTGTCTCTGACAGACTATAAAATGAAAGGTTCACAAGTCAAATTTGCTGTGAAATTCTAAGATTATTATTCAAAAAGATGTTGACTAGTTTGTTTCCAATAAAGGTTATAATCACTCAAGATGCAAAGAAATATTCAAGAGGAGAAACCATGATTTCTCTTCAATTATAAGGGTCAAAAGGGTCAATATTAAAGCAATCTAGGTTCACAACTCCTGAACAGTACTAGTTGAAATTGTCAAAATCCTACCAGAGCTACATTTTGCAATTTTGTGTTCAGAAAAAACCTATTAAAATTTGAAAAGAATTGGTTGAATCATTCTCAAGAAATCCGAGAGAAACGACAAAAAGCACAATTTCTTCTATCAGTCATAAAACATAACTCTATAATGGAAAAAAAATGAAAATAGTAATATTATACTCGACCTTAATTATCTCAAAGAAAAAATATTAAAATTTATAAGGATTGGTTGAACTGTTATTGCATGGAAACTGTTTTGGAGATGCCTGAATATTTGCTGTAAAACTGCAAATCAGTAAATGAATTTTCCCATTGGAAATATGTTAAATAAATGATCCAGTTTGCACAGCAAATAATGTATTTATTAGGCTGAATGTGTAAAAAATAACAAAATAAAATGACCTAATCAATTGTTAACTTTTAATACATTGCGACTTGGATGGAGAGATGTCTCAGTTGCACATCTTCTTATTTATATATACACAATTGTATGAATTTTATTATATTGTGCTGATCAACTAGAGTTATAAATAGTATACTCTTATTCTGGATATCAGCATTAAATGTTATTAATTTTGTTTAATTTTTTATGTTTTGGGTCTAATATTCAGCTTTGTTTTTACCTTAAATAATAATGATAAAAAAGGAAAAATAACAACTAAAACCTGTTCAAAAGATTAAATTTTAGTTCTGTATCTTATTAAAACAAGTGGCATAGGTTTTAAACTGCTTTATACCAAGCATATCACTGATCACTATAAGATAACAATCTTAAAGAATGAAACTTACCTTTGAGATTCTGATTCTGAGAAACCCATATCCTGTAGTTTGTTTCTACGGTACAATTCATAATGAGTTTTATGTGTGCTCTCCCTTAGGTCCTCCATATTAGTTCTGATCAACATTTCTCTCAGTTTGACAAAATCACAATGATTTTCATTTTCAACTGTAAATGGTAATAATTAGACGAAACTTAGTTGATATGACTATAAAGATCTTATCTTGCAGTTAAATGCACATATAAAGTTAGTTTAGATATATCATTCAATGAATAATAAATACAACTAATAAAAGCCATACTTGCATTGTAGACTTATTGAAATCTAGATAAACGTGTCAAATTGCATTACAATTTAACATGAACTTATCATTTACCACACAGAAAAATTCAAATTACATGTATACATTTGCTTCTTATTCAAATCTTAACTATTATAATAACTTAGACATCCTTTAATATCAGAAAACAAGACATATCAAGTAACCCTACAACAAACTGCATCTCCTTATTGGTATAACACATGTCCTTTAGTATTAGATATGAACATACCTTGTACTGTTCCCCATGGATACTGTCTAGCTTTAACCATCTTGTTTCCCAGTTTTATTTCATCACTACTGCCTACTACAGCAAATGGTAAATGTGACTAAAATAAAGAACATGATCATGAAACAGTCTGTTGCTTTGAATTTCAGGATATCAAGGAGCAATTTTTTTCATTCCTCAGTTTAATTTCAGAATTTGTATCTTACATAATAAATTTTTAATATCACAAAAGAATCTACTTCATAACTTTTTTCAATCAAAAATTGTTTGTGTTAATCTTTATCTTAACATTTAGGCTATTCAAATTTTGAATAAATTTATTGTATGAATGCAAAGTTAAAATTCATCTCTCATCTGTAGTCAGGAGGTTCTGTCCAAATCCCACAAAAAATAATAACAGATTGAAGTTTGACTATCAAAGTCAGAGACTCATGAGCCAAAATACCCCCCTAAGAGACGGCTGCATCTAGTAATGTTATTGCTTCTCAATTAACAGCTCCCAGCATACAAATACAATACCTACATTCATAACTTTGTTTGTATCTGCTACAGTTTCATCATCAGTAGGGAACTGGTAAATCTGTACACCATTAGACATCAGTTCTGACATGATCTTAGCTTTAAACTTCTGTAGTTCAGCTTTAGTAATAGTATCAGCCTTAGCTATCACTGGTATAATGTTCACTTTGCTGTCTAATTTCTTCATTGTTACAAGATCCAATGCTTTCAGTCTGAAAAATAACATCGACATAATATTAAATGAAGATTTTTTTTTTGAAATTTTCAATGATCATTATACTTATTCAAATAGTTTTATTTATCTACTGTAAATTCAGAAATGTTTTTCATGTATTTATTATTGGGATTGTTGAACAAAGACCATAAATACGAGATTTATTATAGTGACTATAGGAAATGGTGCATACAAATAATTATTTTTTTTTATTTTTGGGAAATCTATCCAATGGCAACTTTAATAAAAATAAAATGCTTCGCTGGGCGCAGCTTGATACGACCGCAGAGGTCGAACCCTGAACAGTTGGGGCAAGTATGGACACAACATTCAAGCTTGATACAGCTCTGAATTTGGATTGTGATTAAATATTTGACACAGCATAGGTTTCTGACACAGAAAGAATGTGGTCTAAGAACTTCAATTTTTTTAATTTACCTATTATGGTCCAATGTCCAAAATCAAAATACATGGTTAGATTCAGCATATCAAAGAACCCCATATATTCAATTTTTGTTGAAATCAAACAAAGTTTAATTTTTGACCCCAACTTGGACAAACTTGAAAACTGGTCCCATAATCAAAAATCTAAACACATGTTTAGATTCAGCATATCAAAGAACCCCAAGAATTCAATTTTTGTTAAAATCAAACTAAGTTTAATTTTGGACCCTTTGGACCTTAATGTAGACCAATTTAAAAAACGGGACCCAAAATTAAAAATCTAAAAACACGGTTAGATTTGGCATATCAAAGAACCCCAATAATTCAATTTTTGATGAAATCAAACAAAGTTTAATTTTGGACCCTTTTGACCTCAATATGAACCAATTTGATAGCAGGCCCACAAAATAAAAAATCTAAATACATGGTAAGATTCAGCATATCAAAGAACCCCATATATTCAATTTTTGTTGAAATCAAACAAAGTTTAATTTTGGACCCCAACTTGGACCAACTTGAAAACTGGTCCCATAATCAAAAATCTAAACACATGTTTAGATTCAGCATATCAAAGAACCCCAAAAATTCATTTTTTGTTAAAATCAAACTAAGTTTAATTTTGGACCCTTTGGACCTTAATGTAGACCAATTTAAAAAACGGGACCCAAAATTAAAAATCTAAATACACGGTTAGATTTGGCATATCAAAGAACCCCAATAATTAAATTTTTGATGAAATCAAACAAAGTTTAATTTTGGACCCTTTTGACCTCAATATGAACCAATTTGATAGCGGGCCCACAAATAAAAAATCTAAATACATGGTAAGATTCAGCATATCAAAGAACCCCATATATTCAATTTTTGTTGAAATCAAACAAAGTTTAATTTTGGACCCCAATTTGGACCAACTTAAAAACTGGGCCAAAAATCTAAAATCTAAATACATGTTTAGATTCAGCATATCAAAGAACCCCATATATTCAATTTTTGTTGAAATCAAACAAAGTTTAATTTTGGACCCCAACTTGGACCAACTTGAAAACTGGGCCCATAATCAAAAATCTAAACACATGTTTAGATTCAGCATATCAAAGAACCCCAAGAATTCAATTTTTGTTAAAATCAAACTAAGTTTAATTTTGGACCCTTTGGACCTTAATGTAGACCAATTTAAAAACGGGACCCAAAATTAAAAATCTAAATACATGGTTAGATTTGGCATATCAAAGAACCCCAATAATTCAATTTTTGATGAAATCAAACAAAGTTTAATTTTGGACCCTTTTGACCTCAATATGAACCAATTTGATAGCGGGTCCACAAATAAAAAATCTAAATACATGGTTAGATTCAGCATATTAAAGAACCCCAAGAATTCAATTTTTGATGAAATCAAACAAAGTTTAATTTTGGACCCTTTTGACCTCAATGTGGACAAAGTTGATAACGGGGCCCAAAAATCAAAAATCTAAATACATGGTTAGATTCAGTATATCAAAGAACCCCATATATTCAATTTTTGTTGAAATCAAACAAAGTTTAATTTTGGACCCCGATTTGGACCAACTTGAAAACTGGGCCCATAATCAAAAATCTAAATACATGTTTAGATTCAGCATATCAAAGTACCCTAAAAATTCAATTTTTGTTAAAATCAAACTAAGTTTAATTTTGGACCCTTTTGACCTTAATGTAGACCAATTTGAAAACGGAACCAAAAATTAAGAATTTAAATACACGGTTAGATTCGGCATATCAAAGAACCCCAATAATTCAATTTTTGATGAAATCAAACAAAGTTAAATTTTGGACCCTTTGGACCTCAATGTGGACCAATTTAAAAACGGGGCCCAAAATCCAAAAACTTAATACACGGTAAGATTCAGCATATTTAAGAACCCCAAGAATTCAAGAATAAAACCCCATTGAAATTGATCAAGAAATAAGCAATTTATATGAAGTATCTTCTTTTGCACAATACTGTGCAATTGAATATTTCTTGCTATTGTGCAATACTGTACAATTGACAATTTCTTGCTATTGCGCAATATTGTGCTATTGGATATTTTTTGCTATTGCGCAATACTGTGCAACTGAAGATTTCTTGCTATTGCGCAATACTGTGCAATTGAAGATTTCTTGCAATTGTGCAATACTGTGCAATTGAAAATTTCTTGCTATTGCACAATACTTATTATATAATAATTTACACATCCTGTTTGGTGTGTATCTCCTACCATATCATTATTATTTGCTTTTAAATATTAATCAGAAATAACCAACTTAAAATGGAAAATTTTAAAAGAAAAAAAAAAGGAAAAAAAGAAAAAAAAAGAAAAAAAAAAATCCCCCCCCCCCGAAATTTTTTGAACCCCCTTATGATTCATCACCCCCAAACTCAATCCCAGCCTTCCCTTTGTGGTATGGTACCTTGCAGTACAATTTCAGAGAGATCCATACACTTGAACACAAGTTATTGTCTGGAAACTAGAAAAATGCTTATTTTTGGCCCCTTTTTGGCCCCCAATTCCTAAACGTTTCGGGCAATTACCCCCAAACTCAATTCCAGCTTTCCCTTTGTGATATGGAACCTTGTAGTACAATTTCAGAAATATCCAAACACTTACACACAAGTTATTGTCATGAAACTAGAAAAATGCTTGTTTTTTGCCCCTTTTTTGGCCCCTAATTCCTAAAATTTTGAGGCAATTACCCCCAAAATCAATTACAGCCTTCCCTTTGTGATATGGAACCTTGTGGTACAATGTCAGAGAGATCCATACACTTACACACAAGTTATTGTCTGGAAGTTACAAAAATGCTTATTTTTGGCCCCTTTTTGGCCCCTAATTCCTTAACTGTTGGTACCATAACCCCCAAAATCAATCCCCACCTTCCTTTCGTGGTATTGAACCTTATGGTAAAATTTCATGGAGATCCATTCACTTAAACTAAAGTTAGAGTGCGAAAACCAATGTGTCTTCGGACGACGCCAGACGACGACGACGACGACGACGACGACGACGACGACGACGACGACGACGACGACGACGACGCCAACGTCATACCAATATACGACCAAAAAATTTTCAATTTTTGCGGTCGTATAATAAAAACATTGCAAAAATTTCTGAATTTACAGTATTTGTAATTTGGAAGTGACTACTCAATGAAAATGACAAATATTCATCTGTGCAAAGGCATTCAAACACACATTAATATTTAAGGAAATACATTTCATGATGCCATCATGGTGTTTGACATCATTTTGTTTTCATTTGTATACTTTTCATTACATTTCTACAAATACCAGTGTGAAATTTAAACATTTAATTCACAAGTTACTAGCTGAGGCGGCCAGCACAGCTAGATATCAAACTTCATTAAATTTTCCTTTGAAGCTTTGTGTCCAGTTTCTGTGGTACTGCATAAATGGGCAAAGATATAAGTATGAATTACATCAAGTTTGATATCTTTCTAACTTTCAAGTCTTAAAATACAAGAAGTATAGAAAATATTTATATTCAACACAATGAATTACAAACAAGCACTGATTCAAATATTAAAGTTGTGTATCCTATGATTTACAAGTGCAATGAAGAACAATAAAATCGATACAATTATTACAAAAAAAGGTATTTTATTACTTACGAGTGACCTGTTGGAGCGATGAAGTACAGACAGGCATGGATACGAGTGTCATGAAAATTATGAAGAGATCTTTTGATCTTCAATTCCTCCTGTAAATATACTTCAAACTGGCTGTCAATGTAGTCTACTAATGGCTTCCAACTGAAAGGTAAAAAAAAACAATCCTTTATGATGTCAAATAAGTCTGACTAAAAAGGAGTGTGTAGCATTTCAAACTTAGTATTTTTTTTAAATTGTTTTATGTGACTGCTCATGAGGACTAGTAAATCTTGTATAGGATAGGTAAAAATGCATCCCTTTGCATGATATTTCAACAAATAGTTGCTACCATTACAGAGGTTAGTAATGTGAAGGTGATTTTAAGACAAGAGTCAGAAAATATTCCAAAAATTTGTTTCATTTTCAAGGATTGAATGTCTTTCTTCACTGCCCCAGTGGTCTTGTGGTAGCCCACTGGTTGAAGTGACAACATTTTAAACAATATTAGTAATGTACCTGTCTTCTTTGTTTATTTGGTCCCCAAAACCAACACTGTCACAGATGGTCAACTTCAGTCTTACATTGCTTTCTTGTAATTCTGTAATGATGTTAAAATGCATTGATAAAACAATAGTATTATTAATATGGTATTTAGTCAGTCATAGCTGTTACTTGATCACTACACATGACAGTAAGTATAAATTATGTGCAAAAACTTTAAAGGCTGAAAAGTTTTATATTTATTATAACATATACAAAATGCCAGTCTTATCTATGAAATTATGTTCATATATGTTAGAACATAAAAAAAACATCTTTCATAGAATCTAATGAATCGAGTTGAAACCATTCTGTTGGGTGGTGATGACTTAAGCTTGTACTTGGTAGGGTCAACATTTATAAAAAAATGTTCAAAGGACTTAAACTCTGTGAAACCATAGAAACGGATAGGAAGACTAATTAAAATCATTAAACAAGTATGCCTGCAAATCATAGTTTGTTAGTTAAATTCTAATATAAATTAATTTAAATGAAGAGTTGTTACTTCCTGAATCCAACAGATAAACTGAAACCTATCTCCTAAAATGCCATCAAATGTTACAGCAGTTAACTAATGTAAAAAGTTATATGTTTCAAATTCATTCCTCTTTGCTTCATTCTACAATTTGATATCGCCTGTATGTAACAACAAAACTCAATCAATACCTCTTCAGTAAAATGAATAAATAGTTCTATTTTTCTTACCACAAGCATGTGATTTGATTTTATTTTCATCTGTTTCATTTGTACTTGGATTCTTACCGTATGTACTGGCCTTCAGTTTAACACCAGGTAGATCATGTGTACTGGGTGTAGAATCAAAGTGAGTATTAAACAGTGTATCCATCATGGTGGACTTTCCAATACCTGTCTCTCCTAAAAATAGATATAAGTAAAATATTACAGTTCCATATTGTGAACCTCAAATGTGCAACATGTAAGAAGAAACCCTAATATTGTCATAAAATCTAAATTAACATGTGAACTAAGTTTCAAGTTGATGTGACCAAACTTCGTGGTAAACCTACCTTTACCAAAGACTAATTTCATACTGGAAGGACAGACAGACAGATGCACAGACTGGAAAACAAAATGCTCCCCTAATATAATATGCATCGCATAAAATTAACTGTTGACACAGATCAACAAGTCATGCTTGTATGTAATTTTGAAAGTATAATACAAATGTTGAAATTAAAATGGCAACACTTTAACATGTTACCTATGCAAAACTTTCATATTCAATGAACCATGATTGATGAGACGGGGGTATATAATCTCCATAGAAATGAGATGAGCATTTGCTTATACAGTTATTACAAATTCATACCAAATATGATTGCCTTACCATAAATGGTTCCAATTTAACTCACCTAATTATATATATATATATACATAATGTATATATAATCACACAAACTTAAACATTGGTTACGCTACAGTTGGAAAAAAACATGACTAAGTCAAAGGCAAGACAAAGTCTTTGAAACATTATTGAGCCCCCAAAATAGATGGTCTTTCAGACAGAGTCTATTTGAGTATGCAAACTAACAAATTAAAATAATTATACTTACCAAGACAAAGGATATTAAAACAGAAACCTGCACTGATTGACTTGTTGACCAATTGATCTGGAAGGCTGTCAAAACCAACATGGCCATTCAGATTCAGAGTCCGCAGAGGGGCTGCTTTAGGCTGAAAAAATTAAATAAGAGATGCTGATAATCACTTCCTTTCCTGAAGCTTTCAAGATTGACATTTCTGAGAAACCAAGTACATGTAATATGGTTATTTGATTTTAAGTTTTGCAAATGCAATTGCAGTAAAATGGTTACTAAGAATTTCACTTTATTGCTTCAGCTAATTCTTTCAAATGTCATAAAATTCAAAGAAATCAATAAAATATTCTTAAAGATTCTTTTTCTGAAACACATCACAATAAATCCTGAAAAAAAATAGTTGCATGTGACTTTATTTTTATCCTGAACTGAAACTGTTCACATAAACTAGTGCTTTCAAACAAACAATTTAAATTTTATAAACTGTACAATGAAAATTCACAGATTGTAATAAAAACACAATAAGGAAACTACAGTATTTTCATGTATATATTTAATCAAACATAAATTTCTAGTAAGTAAAAACTGTTTCTTTGTTGGTTACAAGAAAATCCAATCCAGAGGAATAGTTATAATCAAAGGTTGATGTAGAGGGTTAATTCAATCCTTAAGATTAGTCCTCTCCATCAGTCAGTCAGACATCCTCTCCATCAGGCAGTCAGAAATTAGTGATTGATCATAAGTTATAAAGCTTATTAAGTCACTGATGTATCATTTTGTTCAAATTATAGATTATTAACAAGCGCAAAAATCCTCTTATAACATTTATAAGTGGGTATTGGATGGATATAGATTTTCTGTTTTGATGATTTAGGTTAATATCTAACTACACTGTCAGATAAATGAAGTCTCTAAAATATAATCAGTTGTAGCAAAGAACTTAATCTATTTACAGCTTTAATATCAGTTATTTCTGTACTTTCTCTTTGTATTGCTTGGTTGCTATATACATGATATACTTATTTTAACCCACATCTTCTTTCATTCCTATATTTAGTAATTCAACTTGGTATGCTGATGTTCGTTTGTCCCTTCTCTCATTTCAACTACCCCCCCCCCCTTTAATTTGGTCGAAAGGACATGAAGGAGGATGTTTGTTAATCATCTAATTTTCAAAAATGTTTTTAAAATATTTCAAGAATGAAATTTTATTTAAATTAAATATTTATCTCCATGTACAATGTATGTATGTAAGAAATAAAATTAGTCAAGGTAGAAAACATTCAGGTATTGTTTTTAGGAACATTTACTTTCAGCAGTTATATTTTATCATATTTTATGTAATTTTAACAGATTAGCCTCCATACATATAAAATAAAATGATTATTTATAACATTTAATAAAATATGTCTGTAAATTTTGTAAAACCTAAATCTATAAGTTTGGGAGATGTAATACACTAGATTTCCATGCAACAATGCTAGCAAATTTCTTAAACTTCTTTCTTCTTCTTCAGTTATACAACAAAACTTCAGGATGTTGGAAGAGCATTGATCTCTCTTCTTTTGATTTTTTAACATTAGATAAAATTGAGAATGGAACTGGGGAATGTGCCAAAGAGACAACAACCCGACCAAAGAGCAGAAGTTTTGATAGTCCAAATTAAGGTGATAGTGGTGCTAGCATAACACAAATGCCCAGCAAAAAAGATCAATTTGACCATCTGCTTTGGTAAAAAATCTTCTTTGAAGTGGGTTGCAGGGAACTTTTGTTCCAACAGAGACAAACTAAATCAATCATGACACTTTACTGATTTCCAGGAAAAAAATATATTACAACTACTAATTTGGACAGAAATTCTACCTTAATTAATTTCCCATGAGAGTTTACTGCCAGCTACAATAATAACATATATGGTCATTTTAGATAATTAACTTATGCTAAAGGATAACCAGACATGATAGCTTAAATAACACTTAATGGTACACTCATTCCAATCAAAAAAGTTTCCTGAATTATGTATATAACATTTCTTACCATTGCTAAAATGTTTTCTTTTCAATGAAACAGAAAAATAGATAAATCTTTTTAAACCCATGAGTTTTTATACTGTATGTAAACTTGCACCTAAAGGCAAATTTCATAGAAGCCAAACATATTACAAATACTCCAACTTTAACAACATTTGATCAATTATTACAATGACAAGTACTCAAATTGTGCTGAACTCATTAAAGTAATAAAAAAATAATTTAATTACCTCAAATAAATCTGGAGGTAGATCTGCATGAAAATATTCCACTTGTTCCATCCTTAAATAATTGGATTTTAAAATGGTGTTTTTTATAAAAAATATTTCCTCATTTTCGTTTCATTTTTATTCAATTTTTAAACTTTTTTGTTCCTTGGTTGTTTGTTTCCTGTATTGAACTAAATATTTCCTTATGATCTAATTAACCAAAAAATTATCTCACATAATTCATGAGAAACTAAGTTTAAACAACCTATTTACAATGCTAAAAATATGCATCAACTAACTTAACAAAAAGCCTATGAAAATGGAGCCATCTTTTTAAAGAAAGCACAGATAGGATAACTATGATTGCTGAAATACCCAGAGCATTGATATTTAACAAAAATATCATATTTACAGAGTTTCACTGTGCTCAACAAAGAAATTGTCCGTTCAGAATATTAGTGGGGCAAATTGGATCAACTTGTGATATTCACCCCACTGTTAGCATGGTTAACAACAGATGATATTTAGTTAAAAGCAGTAGCTTACACTGATTGTAATGAAAATAGTCTTATTGTCTTATTCAAATGGTTGACATCTAGTTTTATTAAAGGGCTGGAAACTCAAACATTCTAAAAGTCTATCATAAAGACATTTTATATTTATATTTTAGTCTAAACTGTTTCAATTGGCATTAAAATTATACATATTAATTAATATTATTGCTCTGTTTTTAAGCACCAAAAAAATGATAGCGCATTTGCTATGTATTAGAATATAACCATGATGATATTAATATTATCAAAGGGAAAAGGGAAATAATATTACATCATTGTCAATGAAATCCAAAGGTGATAAAACTATGGCTATGATGTCCCATTTAAATATTTAACAGAATTTGTACCCTCTTAGCAAACAAACACCTTTTTATACTTGTGTATTTCAACACAGTTATTTAAATGTTTTAGGGACAAATCTAATTGTGGATATTATTAAAGATTTTAAAAGTAGTTTTTAGGGACAATGATGGATTATTCTTATTTATTGAAGTACAAATGTGTAACTTGTTTCATGTACAAGGTACAACATCATGTAAACAAAGTTAGTTATTCAGGAAACCACAGAAACATGCACTTTCCTTCTTTCCTTATCCTTGTTAAAACTTGTTTTTTTAATTTTTTACAAGAAATCTATATTCCCAGCCATCAATACAACTGAATAAATTTTAAAGACTAAATTTGTATTTATTTATCCCTTATGATTCAATGCACCGTCTTTAAAGCATTAAACCACTAAAATTCAATCAATTATAGTTGTAAAAAGACTAAAATTTTAGATTTCATTCATTGGCATTTGCTCATAGAACATATAACATCAATTCTCTGATTAACAGACCAGGAATGTTGATAACAGTCATAAACACATGAATGATGAGGTAGAGTAGTAATTTATAAACATCACATACTTAAACATATTGACTATAAGCAACTTTTGGTAATCATATACAATTTTTTTAACAAACGCCACAATTTCAAATTAAAGAACCTTTGTGATCACACTCACACACCCCACGCCGTTAAATTGTCACTGGGCAAACATAATCTCACAAGATTCCTAAGTTCAAAGACTCATAACTCCTACAAAAGTCAAATGATAAAAATTTCTTGAGGATATGCAAAAAAAAAATCAACATAGTATGTCCTTATTATCTACATAGTTTCATGAAATTCTGTTGTCTGGTTTCAGAGGAGTAGAGATGACAAGAACAGGACTGACGGACAGACGGACTGACTGACATAGGGTCAAAAACATTATACCCTACAGAACTTTGACTTTGGGGTATAATTAAGTAATGACTTCTATTGTTTACCAACTCAGCAATGAATCAAACAAGTCAAACAAAATGTTACAATGTAATACCATCAATGAAATATTAACCTGCTTATATATACTTTATTCTGATAAACCGCTGTAAATACAAAGGTACACAGAAGAACATAGACATTATGCTAAATGGGAATACTTTCCTGAAAAAATAAACAATCATTTGGAACATCCTACCACCTTCACTTTTGTACACTAGTTTATATACAATATGAAATGAACTTTGTAAATTGCTTCATATACACAAATTATATGGTGACACCAAAGAGAAGACAAAAGACTGAAACTTCCCTTTTACATGCACATATGATATGCATTTGATTTTTTGTCTTAAATCTAAAAATTATGAAGTTTCTGGCACATATTTGTATATAATTAAGTTCCGTTAACGCTACAAGGCAATTATTGGATAGACTAAATAGATATAACTCAGGGAATTTAATATTAATAGATCAGAAAACTCTTAGCAAACATATTTTTGATCTAAACAAAAGTTCAAAGTTTCTCAACAAACAACACCCAGGTGTTAAATCAAGAAGAAATAGGGTAACTGATCACTCTGAAATATTTTTCATTTAGAATATACAGAGAGATACAAAATGTACATGTATTTCAGGTTGAATAACCCAACATCGTAAGTATCACTGTAAAAATTCCCACCAAGGATGATTTTTTACTCTGAATCACTGTCCATGTACATGTACCTTATGGGATGACGATTCATGACATGAGATGATATGAAATAGTAAAAATTTAAAGGGCTTTTAACAGTGCTTAACTATACATTTTTTGGGCTATGTGTACATATCATGAAACATCATTTATAAGCAAATTTGAATGTTACCTGACCAAGGTCAAGGGAGTTGAACCAGACAGACTGACCAATAGAGAGAAGGTATAAATAAACTTTCTTTGCAGGAAGATGTAATGTGATAATTTCATACAATGAGTGACAAATAACCAAATTTAGCTCTTTAAATAAAGAATTAATTATTATTTTTTATTATTATAATAAGATAAGTTGATAACAAGTGTGAAAATAAATCAACAAATTGTGAAATAAAATGCAAAATATTAAAATAACTGAATATAAAACTTTGTAAGTCATGATGGATCCAGGTGACAAAAAATACGAAAAACTGGAAACAACTCTAACACTATGTACAAAAAGCTTTATTCTTTTTCTATAAGCCTGAAAAAATTAGAAAACCAATAACCAGTGGTTAAAATATGGGACTGTCCAAGGTGGGTATCTACATGTATCATGCAGGAATGGCTACTCCCATTTATATTTCAATTGTAAGCATTCATAATGGACTAGAAAATGATAGAGTTAAAACCCTGTAGTAACCATGAATTTAGAAAATTCTTTCTAAATGAAGCTTGATATCCACTGAAAATTTCACCTTGATCCATCCTGTTTTACATGCCTTAATATTGATGTATTGACTTATTCTTCCTGGTTCACCCTGTCCCTGTGTTAATAAAAACAAGTGTGTGTGTTATTGTTAACTCTGTTTCACCTTATAGTGCATGAACGTCACTTCTGGTGGTGTCTCATTCTGATCAAATACTGACTGTCAAAATACATCATAGAATAGACAATGATAATTTTATTCTTTATTCTAGATACAAGAAAAGGCGGTTCGATGATCAGTTTTAAACTTCATTTTACAACTTTCCCTAGACTTCACATTTTTAGCTTGATAATACACTGTATAACATACATGACTATGCGGTATGGGTTTTACTCATTGTTGCAGGCTGTATGGTGACCTATAGTTGTTAATTTCTGTGTCATTTGGCCTCTTGTGGAGAGTTGTTTCATTGGCAATCATACCACATCTTCTGATTTTTATATGTACACACCATTTTTATCAAATGTACATTTGTAACTACTCTTATGGATGAATATCATGGCAAAATTACTCTGAATTAACAGTATATAACTACAGAACAAATCACAGTAAAACTTTGAAATGTTTTAAAATTGTACCTGTCACTGTGTATATCATTGTATATTAAATAAAATAGGATAAAATAAGGTTCATTACATTTTGGGACCACATTGGTCCTAAAATCAAATGTATTGACTGCACTCGATTTGAATTATCAAATGTTGAATCTACATGTATGTATTTAAAATATTGGATTTTTTTTATATTAAAACAAATCCTTTTCTGTAAATTCATTTATTAAACAGCCATAAATGACAGTAAATTCTGTAAAATAACAAAAATTGGCAAAATTCTGACTATTTGCCCATCACATGTGTCGAAATAAAATAGAGCACATCACTCATATAGATATTATCACAGAAAGTGTATTTTATTTTGATTTGATGCAACAACTTGCAATTTGGTCAGAATTTTGAATGAACTGCAATAGATGGAGAGAAACACTTATAAATAATTTACAGTAATAAATTAAGACAAATACAATTGATGGAAAGTTTCTAGATCATAATAACATAGTGTACTAAAATGATATTCAAAAGCAAATCTGATTCCTAAGTGGTAAAGGACAAGAAATTTTCAATTCATAAAAATCTATATGGATATAAGTGTAAAGACTGAGTAAATATGCAGTTTTGATATATTATATACATTTTGAGGAAAGAGAGGAGATCTTAAATACAAACAAGCATCTATAAATAAATACAGACATGACAAAGTGGATTTTGAAATTGCCATTTTAGGTGGTGCCGTGTGACGGTGTGACTACATTTACTGTGGAGCATAATAGTAAGTGGTTGGCCTCTTTCTTTCACAATGATTCCTAATTAGGTCTGTTAGAACTTTTAAAATGCATGGAAAAAATTTGACTAGCATAATGTTTTTTTCTGAATTAACTATTACAGTTAACCATCCGACCAACATCCTATAAAAGGATGCATTTATGATACAGGTATGTATCATGTAAAAAGCCAATTCATTTCTGGTGAAGGAAACATTTCTTTGACTGATGCTTTCATAATTATTCTTTATAAATTCCTTTCTCTAAGAAGGATAGAAGGTAAGGGTACTACAGAAGCAAACTGTGCAGCAGAAGTGGTAAAACACTGAAGTATCAAATTAAATTTCAATTTATGCATTGGAAGATGAATTTAGACAAAACTATATGTTTTTATGTGTCACTGTTACACAAACAGTTTAATCAGCTGAGCTTCAAGTATAAATGTAAATATAAATTATAAGAAGATGTGGTATGAGTGCCAATGAGACAACTATCCATCCAAGTCATAATGTGTAATAAAATGCTCCGCTGGGGCGCAGCTTGATACGACCGCAGAGGTCAAACCCTGAACAGTTGGGGCAAGTATGGACACAACATTCAAGCTTGATACAGCACTAAATTTGGATTGTAATTAAATATTTGACACAGCATAGGTTTCTGACACAGAATGAAAGTGGTCTAAGAACTTAAAATTTTTTAATTTACCTATTCAAACCATATCATTATTATTTGCTTTTATATATAAATCAGAAATAACCAATTTAAAATGGAAAATTTTAAAGAAAAAAAAAATCCCCCCCCAAATTTTTTGAACCCCCTTATGATTCATCACCCCCAAACTCAATCCCAGCTTTCCCTTTGTGGTATGGTACCTTGCTGTACAATTTCAGAGAGATCCATACACTTCAAAACAAGTTATTGTCTGGAAACTAGAAAAATGCTTGTTTTTTGGCCCCTTTTTGGCCCCAAATTCCTAAACGTTTAGGGCAATTACCCCCAAACTCAAACCCAGCTTTCCCTTTGTGATATGGAACCTTGCAGTACAATTTCATAAAGACCCATACACTTACACACAAGTTATTGTCCTGAAACTAGAAAAATGCTTGTTTTTTTGCCTTTTTATGGCCCCTAATTACTAATATTTTGAGGGAATTACCCCCAAAATCAATTCCAGCTTTCCCTTTGTGGTATGGTACCTTGCAGTACAATTTCAGAGAGATCCATACACTTGAACACAAGTTATTGTCTGGAAATTAGAAAAATGCTTGTTTTTGGCCCCTTATTCCTAAACGTTTTGGGCAATTACCCCCAAACTCAATTCTAGTTTTCCCTTTGTGATATGGAACCTTGTAATACAATTTCATAAAGATCCATACACTTACACACAAGTTCTTGTCATGAAACTAGAAAAATGCTTGTTTTTTGCCCCTTTTTGGCCCCTAATTCCTAAAATTTGGAGGCAATTACCCCAAAAATCAATCCCAGCTTTCCCTTTGTGATATGGAACCTTGTGATACAATGTCAGAGAGATCCATACACTTACACACAAGTTATTGAAAAATGCTTGTTTTTTGCCCCTAATTTCTAAAATTTGGAGGCAATTACCCTCAAAATCAATCCCAGCATTCCCTTTGTGATATGGAACCTTGTGATACAATGTCAGAGAGATCCATACACTTACACACAAGTTATTGTCATGAAACTAGAAAAATGCTTGTTTTTTGCCCCTTTTTGGCCCCTAATTCCTAAAATTTGGAGGCAATTACCCCCAAAATCAATCCCAGCATTCCCTTTGTGATATGAAACCTTGTGGTACAATGTCAGAGAGATCCATACACTTACACACAAGTTATGTCTGGAAGCTACAAAAATGTTTATTTTTGGCCCCTAATTCCTTAACTGTTGGTACCATAACCCCCAAAATCAATCCCCACCTTCCTTTTGTGGTATTGAACCTTATGGTAAAATTTCATTGAGATCCATTCACTTAAACTAAAGTTAGAGTGCGAAAACTAATGTGTCTTTGGACAACGGCGACGCCAACGTCATACCAATATACAACCACAAAATTTTTTTTGCGGTCGTATAAAAAGTAAAGCATATCACACATTAAAGAGTAAATGTACATTTGTACATGATGATGTATAACAAGAAGTTTGAAGTCAAATTTTCAAGTGAAATACACGGATGTCAACTTCATGAATTTTAATAAAAATGTAAGAAAAGTAACAAAATGTACAAAATACAATACAGAACTTACTAATTTGTTTTATCTAATTAATGTTTGTGTGTAGTTTCAGTAGTATAAAGTAAATTAGTTTTTTCAACTAAAGAACACTGAAGTTTAACAGGAGGAAACTGTGTATGGATAGCAATATGGTTTAGCTTTAATGTTGCATGACTACACACCAAATGGATTATATAATCAAAGTGTCAAGGAATAAGTGAATATGCTCAAATCACTGCAAAGTTAGAATGATAATTTCTTTAAGTGAATATAGTATTAAAGATGTCAACTTTGTAGCAAAGCTGAGCTATACCTCTCCTGTTGGAGCCACTTCGTTTAATGATAATTTTTCTTCAGTGTCACATGTTGAAGAAACTGAGATATTATCAACACTTTCCTCATTTTCATCTATCTTGAAGAATAAAATATAGAAAATTTTGTCAATAAAAATGTCAATGTATTACAATCCACAACCATGTACTCACTTCAACATTCTACTTCAGTATTTCCAATGAATATTTGACAAAAAATTGTGGACAAGATCTTCACAGGTCAAATTTCTACACATAACCATATTCCCTATAGTCCAGGCTTGTTAAATTGCATTCAGGCCTGTAAAATCACTTCTACAGATATTTTCAAAATTCTAACTGAATGGAGAATATGTCTCTGCTTTTCAATTCTTATCTGCTTCATGTGTAAAAGGCAATTGATCTTGTTGGTAAAGTATTTATTAGTCCAAGAGTACAGTTATCATGGTTATTGAATTTAAAGGTAACAAATATTAAAATAAGACAAAGGTTAATATTTCAATTTTTATCAAAACATGAAGGTAATTGCAGTATATTATTAGTCTGAAGTAGGAGAGACGAATTAATTATTTGGTGTTTCTTTAGCAGTTTAGGCCAATTAAAATATATGTGTGGTTCCAATTACATCCTGAAAAAAAAACAGGAACGGTAGGTCGGCATTTTTTTGTTTTTTTGTTTTTTTTGGATTGTCAAAACCAGGGAAAAAATTGTGTGTTCACCGAGTCCAATTCCAGTATTACACATGTTCATGCCAGAAATTCACCATTTTCTATATGTTTGGTTGTAAAATAAACAGATATGTTAACATGGTTAAGTTTTGATTTAATTTTGTTGCATTCTGTTAAGATGGAAATTCAGATGACAGAAGTCTGTGAATTCAATTATTGAAATTCACATTCCACAAAATGGGATTGTTCAAAATTTATTTTTCAGAAATGGAAAAATAAAGTTCTAGGGTCAGGGGGTTTAAACTAGGGTCGGTCATGTAACTGGAACCACACATATATTTTTATTTGGCCTTACATAATATTGGTTGTTTATAATTTAAGATATTGCTAAAAATAACAGTTTTGTAAGGTCCTCTGCACACACATGGTGTTGACACAGTCTTCACAATAATCACAACAGGAGTAAGGATTAGTCTCAAATACTGGGTATTTATATGTTGCTGGTAGAAGTTTACAACCTGATTTTTCTATGCGGAGTCAGGAATACATAACTCAGAACAAAGACATGTCAGACAAATTTTTAGACAACTTGTACCAGTTGTTTAGACACTTAGTTCAAGTTTGAAAGCCATTCGTACCACTTTTGAAGGCAACAAGGACAATTTTGAAAGACTACTTTGAACCCTTATTACATCTTGGAAGCAATATGGCAAATGAAAAGATGAACAAACACATAACTGTTTTTTTTTTTTATTTCCACTGGCAAAAAAATAAATTACGGTCTTTTCCAATGTCATATTTTTTAAAAGCAGAAGATTGGAAATAGTGCTCATCAAATCAATTTATCACAACAGACAGAAGAAACAATGATCTGAAAAAAGGAAAAAAATCTACTTGTAAGATATACCCAAACAATAATCGCATAAAAAATGTAAAAGTTCTGGAAGGTAGCCTTTCTAGCACACAACAACCCTTAAACTGTTTACATTGGCTTGTTGAATCCGTAATATCTTATAAATGAATTTCTACAGGAATTGAATGAGTCATCAATAAGAGTGCAGGGGTCACCACATCAGGCGAAGTGGGCAACAAAGTCGCTCTAGGACTCCCCACTTCGCTCTAAAGAAGCTCCAGGGAGAAGTTTATGTTGCTCTCGATTTTCAGAAAATTCCCCAATGTTGCCTCGTGATTTTAGAAAAATTCTCGATCCAAACGTAAACGATCAGATAGTTGACAAAATACAAAACATGTTATAGGCTAATTCAGTATGATTTATCCGAGGTATTATATTCAATCAATAAAATTGCTTGAAAGGACGTACTATAAGCAAGAAACAAGAAAAAAAACTTGATTTTGCAATGTTTGTTTATAGTCCACCATCTTTGTTATTAAATTTTATCTTTTCAAAACTCTTATCATTTACATGATCCATATTACAGAGTTGGAAATTATAGCCCGCCCGACCACCGGAATCGGCCTATTTTACGATCGGGTGGTCAAAAATTAAATTTCAACAGTCGGGTGGACGGTCTATTTTTTGCAGGTGGTTGGGATTACCTTTTTCTATTTTTGGAATGAGTTCTCAGTATTACCCCATTCATAACAGCACGTAAGAATCATGACTGCCAATTAACCTTTTACTACCACGTGTTTCCACGCAATTTCTGCAGGGAACATGGTGATACCTGTTGTTTGTAAGATCCACACTCATTATCTAGGAGGTATCCAATCGTCCAATCGCGATCGCGTTTATTAAATAAAAAATAAATATTAGAGGAAATCGATAGTATAAATTTGTTTTGGTAAACTCATGTCTTTACGACAGTACTTGGGCCTTTCGTTGCCGAAAAAGCGAACTGATATTGACTCAACAGGAAAAAATTGTACGTTCAGTCTAAGAAGAAGCAGACAATTGTTCCTGGTTGGAAAATGGAGTTCGAGTGGTTGAGTTTCAAATATTGTGAAAATGAGGAGCAATAAAATTATAAATGAAACCAAAATTTTATTTTTATTTGCTTAAAAGTAATTTTGTGGAACAAAGGTACAAACAAAGGCATGCTGAATTACACTGAAGACAAACTAACACCCCCAGTGCCCACCCCAAATTCTAAAAATTAAATCACACCTTGCTTCTGAACAAATGGTCATTAGGCTTAGCAGTGTCTGCTTAAATGTGCACTTGTAAGTCTTGTTGCAGTGTGTATTTACAAAAGCAGTCATAAGTCATTTTCATCACAAAAAATCCTCAAGTTTATCTAATAATACTTCTAGTCATTAAAATATCTCAAAACACAAAAACATAATTTAGAATCTTAAAGGAAAATGGGTTTGATTTTTATTGCATTAATTTTCAGGGCTGGTAAATTTTGATCAGGACAGGTAATTTTTTTATGCAGCCAGCCCTGTGGTCTGGTAGACATTTCCAGTGAGTTTCCTGCATATTAATACGCAATTTTAATTTTGATTATCTTATATTTACTGTTAATTATCAAAATTTGATACTTCATTAAATTAAAATATAAAACTTTCTTATTTTCTTTTCAAATGGTTCATAATGTAAACTGGATTCCGCTTGTATTTTAACTACGTACAAAATTAAGTAGTCAGCTGGGAACCAGCACAACAATTTATAAACTACAAAACGTACTCGGTTTTTCATTCAGATTATGTGTTACAGACTGCTACATGCCCTTTGTTTTAGCTAAAGGTCCATTTAACAATTTTTTTATGAATACTATATCATTAATTTGCTAAAGGACAGCACTATTTTACTTCCAGAGTCGTATATTTTTATAAAATATTAAGTACGAATTTTTGCCGCTTCTTGCACTGTAATTGTTTTCGATTTATAAGTACTTATTCAATTTCCGGTAATGAACAATACGACTTTTTTCCGATGCTTCTTTTTGTGATTCTGTCATATATTTAAACACTCGTGAAGTGTTCTAGAATTATTTATATGTATTTCCAATGGCAACTTGATGCTGGGAAATGTGGTTTTCAATGAAAATACCGCAAACAATCGCACACGATTTGAAATTAACAGAATTTTACTATATGTTATCAACAAGTGTCCGTGACTAACAGTTTTTCTTCCTGAATTTCTATCAAAATTATTTAAAGAGCAAATATAATTTTTAATTATGATCTTAGCAATGAAAGACAGTGAAACCATATTGAAGATATCTTAACTTACTTATCAATTGATTATTATTTTGTTTTCTAAAGGGTTCTCACTTTATTAAATGTTATTATTAAAACACAATTGTGAGCAATCCAAAACATACTTTTGTTTAGAAAAATCTTTGAGATGCAGAAAATTTTACCAATGTCAAATCTTCAATTCATTCAGACCTACAACAAATGTAGCTGCATAACTGTAGCTCTTATGGACCTTATGTGGGTACAAATGTAATTCAGACCACAAGCATGGCAAGGACATACTACCCTAGAGATGCTTGGAAAATTTTATTCTTAAAAAGTATTAACGTGATCCTTCAATTTTCCCTGGTCTCCCTGTTGGGTCTTCACTTCTCCCTGTTTGGCTGCCAGGGAGAAGTCACTTCTCCCTATGATTCTAAGTGTGGTGACCCCTGAGAGTGGTCAGAACTTTCTGTAACATGTAATCAAAAACTGGTCAAGGCAGTGTTTAAAACTTAGCTGAGTTTTCTTTCAGACTGCAGAAGTTGTTCTGGAAACTTATAAAAAGTGTCCTCAAACGCAACTTGACCTGTGTTTAAATAGGTCCAAGTTGTTTTAAAAGCGGGTCCATTGGTGGGAATTGTATTTGTATGAGTTTTCCTGATTCCGGTTCAGATTGGATAACTTTTACACTTTAACTCATGATTGAACTTTTAGCATTTTATGACAGTAAATCAACCGAATGCTACTTGCTATAAAACAAAAGCACCATCTGTATGAATGGTCTTAAGAAAACAATAATATTGTGCATCATCTCTCAGTCTCAGACAGAGAGGGGAGGGGCAGGTTTTGGACTGCTAAAATCTTTTAACAGATGTTGATTTTAATTATGATTTAAATTAATTACGAATTTAAGTCTGAAATTTAAGCAGGAATACAGCAAATACCTTCAATGGCACTTCTGGGGCTGACATTCTGGTCTTTTTTTCAAAGAAAGAAATCACAGGTCTAAAATTACATGACCCGGAAGTATTCAGTGCGGAATAATTACATTTGAAAAATGATAAAATGTCATGATTAAAAGGTAAATTTTCATCAAATTATTATGTTTGAATAAGAGTACTTCGCTGTTATAAAATCATATTTTACAGACCTATTTTTTATTTATATATTTGATATTTACTGCGGTAACCCGGAAGTTGTATTGGCATCACCCAGTCGGCTATAGCCAAGCGTAAATACCTGTCAATTTTTAATTAACAGGATGTGAAGAAACTGTCCTCGTGCAACAACTTAGACGAATACATTTATTGGAGACTTACACGTCCGTCACAATGGCGGAAAATGAGAAAGACGGTGAAAACGTACCTAAAGTAACAACACCCGAAGACATTCTGAAAACTTCTGGGAATGATGAATTGAAATTTGGTTTATTGATTGGTTTAATCAAGGTTGGACAGGTGTCAAATAAAGATGTGGTTGATACTGTTTTATACTTGGTAAGATATTGATATAATACATCATGTAATATGTGTTGCAACATACACAAAAACACATACGCATGGGGGTTTACCTGTAAACTGATATACTGCCTAATCAGTCATGTGTGTCACTTATAATAATTGAGAAATTTATTAACTAGTAAAACAGATAAACATGAAAGCAAATAAGCTCTTTTTTTTCCAACTTGAGAAGCATTTTAACAATTTGAGTCATAAACTCACTTTAACACGAGATATCATAGGTCATTATACATTGTTTTTAACTCACAAATTTTTGCATGTGTGACGGTGGTCACTTTGTTTACTTGTTACGTTTATTATATTGGGGAAATTGGTTAAAGTTAGCATTATTTATAGTTCCACAAATACTTTGTCCCGAGACCGGCCACGTAAATTCTCATCGGGTTACTTCCTGTTCTGGCACGTGCCTGATGTCCCGACCGGGCTCGTTGTCCCTAGGAACTATAAATATGACGTCACTCACCGGGTCTTTGGGCAGTCTACGAGAGGATTTGAAATGAGCAGACGCTCATACTTTGGCTCGTACATTTTAGGCAACATGTAGACTAGCTACCACCGTACTTTTGTATCTTTTTATATGTCATTATTGTATGACTTGTATATTTCAACCATGTATTTATTCAAATAAACATTCTGTTTATATCGTAGTTTGTCCAATATCCCTGAACTTGGGTTAGACAACGGGAAGACAGCGAAGCCAGAAGGAAACTTCACTCCCGTTACATTGGGGGCTCGTCCGAAGGATATTTCAGGACAACATTTTATACAAACATTTTGTTTGTGCGCAAATTTCCACAATATGGTTGGAATTAAATGGATTTTTGAATCCCTAGGGCTAGGAGGCAAACTCAGACAGTTTATTGTCTATATTCTTGTCATTTCTCAAATTGCTGCCGTTCCTGTAAGGATCAGTACGGAATTAAATATTGTTTCATACAATAAAATGAATGAATATCACTTACCTTCATATTATGTTTATGTAAATCCAGATGGAAAAATTGAATTTGGACCACAAAGTGAACATTTTGTTCACGTTCCCGGTATCACACGTTATGTGCATTTCAAAGGAAAACAAACACCACACGTGTTTAGAGATGAACAAAGAAAATTCACTAATTTAAGTGTATTTGATCGTCATCAAAAGCCAAATACATCTTTGCTAAATTCAGGAAGTCGGCGATGCATTTTTACGCCATGTTTACAAAATGACGTCATATTTAAGACGTCAAAGCACATGACATCTCTGGAATGTTAATTGGAAGTAATCATTGTCATTTCAATGTCATAATTAAAACACTGTTTTGTAGAGTTTTAATATTGGATATGCTGATTTTAACTGTTACCATTTTGGATTATTGAAGTAAGTTTTGTACTTGTATTCTGTCCGTTTTGTTAGTTTTGTCTGTTATTCCTGTCTTCACATATTGTGGATTTAAAAAGCATATCTTGTGCTTGTTTCTCAAAGTTCGAAAGGAAAGGGGTACGGTTTCTCATATTTTCAGTCGTTGTTGTACGTGGAATTGTGGTCATGGATATACATTTTATAATAGAAATTTGTCCGGTTTATATATATATATATATATTCAGTTTAATTGCAAATAATTCTGTTTGCTTTGACTGTTTGTGGAGAGAATACTGAACATTTTCAGTTTTTAGCTAATTAAATGCCTTCAGAGGTAGAAATTGTGGAGTTAGTCAGTATTTAGGATAAATGTATGACAATTTTGTCATACAGCTGGAATAGGGTAGTCTTATACGAGTTGTGACTAGAATAAAGATAATAGAAGAAAGTACACTCATTATCTTAGCTGTTGTTGGAAGCTGCTTTCGGTGGTGTATACATAGAGGCAATTTTGGAAATACCTTAGGTGCTAGAGAATGGCGCGAGAATAGGTATATAATTATGTTGCGTATACATTTTTATTGTAAACCTTAATTGGTTCACCATGGGTATGTTGTCCACATGGCTAAGGATATTGTTTTGGGGATTATTGGAATCCAAGGCATGATTTATGATATAATAGAACAATTGTTTTATATATGATATTGTATAATTTTTGATATAATTTAATAAACAAACAATCAGTTTGTATGGATTCCATTATCGAAATGTGTATAATATATATGTTTATAATAATACCATGGGCATATTGATAGTGCTTTCGGTGACATATATTTTTACGTATTGGGGCACCTGATCTTTGGTGCAGTGCACGTGTATAAGGACTTTTATAGACTCTTGGTGAGTCAGGACTTTATAAGAAGAATTGGCTTCTTTTGATTTATTCCAGTGTCTGACAAAATATCGGAGGTTAAACTGAAATTATTTCAGTGTGTTGATAGCTGGCTACAGTGGAAAAAAAATGGAAATGTATATTGGCTTTTTGCCGATTATTTGAAACATAAACGATACTTATAACCACATGCAATTACCGTTCAGTTTTGGAACTGCTACCTTGGATTTTGATGTTTTATATATAGATGCTATAGATGATATATACCTTAAATGGATGCCATAGATACTTTACCTACCTGGAACCTTGACAAGATGTGTGTTTAGATGCTTGAACTTTATTTCTTCCATGATGATGTCCTGTGATGTATTTGTGACTGAACTTTTAATTTATAATCTTGAATTGATTATTTAGTGACAGTAACAGTAAATTCATTGTTTTATTGATTAACTAATATGTATTGTATTTAGGTAAGTATATCTCACCGATCTTTGGACTAATGTGTGGGCACATTAGATCTTAAGTGAGGGGGAGTGTGACGGTGGTCACTTTGTTTACTTGTTACGTTTATTATATTGGGGAAATTGGTTAAAGTTAGCATTATTTATAGTTCCACAAATACTTTGTCCCGAGACCGGCCACGTAAATTCTCATCGGGTTACTTCCTGTTCTGGCACGTGCCTGATGTCCCGACCGGGCTCGTTGTCCCTAGGAACTATAAATATGACGTCACTCACCGGGTCTTTGGGCAGTCTACGAGAGGATTTGAAATGAGCAGACGCTCATACTTTGGCTCGTACATTTTAGGCAACATGTAGACTAGCTACCACCGTACTTTTGTATCTTTTTATATGTCATTATTGTATGACTTGTATATTTCAACCATGTATTTATTCAAATAAACATTCTGTTTATATCGTAGTTTGTCCAATATCCCTGAACTTGGGTTAGACAACGGGAAGACAGCGAAGCCAGAAGGAAACTTCACTCCCGTTACACATGTTTGCTTTACATGTACTTGTGACTTCATCAGTTGCAATAACACTTAGCTCGTGCCTCGTTCGGTGCAGCTTACCATGCTGATTTCCTGATTTAATGAAATTTTGACTGTCAATTAAACTATTATTATATAGATATATATGGGTGCTTTATGAACTGATATTTTCTTTAAATGTTTCTACACATGTAGTATTCTCACACAAGATCATTTGCCATTGGAGTTTTACCACGGCTATGCTATTGAGGGTTTTAAGGGTCATTCAAAATGTAGTATAGACAAAAAATTACCATTATACTATTTGAACTTCCTCATACATGTGATGGACTGTGAAACTCAGATCAGGAGATTGGGAAATTTTGGTCAGGAGATTAGGACTCAGATCAGGAGGTTTTCAATCGACATAAATTTTGTCGTAAATGTAACCGTGTGCTGTAAAAATTGTCTTTTAAAGTGTGTTTTCTTCAACTTTCCATCCAATGTATTATGTTTATAGTACCCTTGTACTTATAAAGTTTCTCTATCTTTATATTCTACATGTTCAATCTAACACTCTCTTTTTATACGACCGCAAAAAAATTTTGTGGTCGTATATTGGTATGACGTTGGCGTCGTCGACGTCCGGCGTCGTCGTCTGAAGACACATTGGTTTTCGCACTCTAACTTTAGTTTAAGTGAATGGATCTTTTTGAAATTTTACCATAAGGTTAAATACCACAGAAGGAAGGTTGGGATTGATTTTGGGGGTTATGGTACCAACAGTTAGGGAATTAGGGGCCAAAAATAAGCATTTTCTAGTTTCCAGAAGGAAAACAAGGTTGTCCTGGTTAATGGACAAATACTTTAGTACAAAACATAATTTAAAGCAGTGTAAGGGAGATAAATCAAATACATCATTGAAATTATCTCCCTTACACTGCTTTTAAATTATGTATAAAGTAATGGTTAATGAACAATAAAGATAATTTAAAACAGTGTAAGGGAGGTAATCCAAATACAACGTTTTGGTTACTTCCCTTACACTGCTTTTAAATTATGTTTAAAGAAATGCATATTTATAAAGGAAGACCAGTAAAAATATCTGCAAATGTTGCATTATTTTTTTTTACAAAAAAATCCATATGAAAGATTTGACACTATATTTTTAATTCTATTATAAAATAGATTAAGTTAGCACTATGGTAAATTTAAATGGGTAATTATGGTTGCCAACTCCATTGGAAATTTGAATTGAGATTATGACCATATCTTGAGGGAAAGAATTTTTTGGGGGAAAAAAGGGGGGGGGGGATAAAAAGAAATTGTGGGGGGTCAATTTTTTCTCATTTCAGATTTCAGAAATTAAAAAGAATTATTCTTCAAATATTTTTTTTTTTCAAATTTCAAATATTGAAAAATTTCAAGAAGTAATCTTTAATTGCACAGTATGGCGCATTAGATTTGTAAAATCTTTGATCACATTTATTTATTTGTTATGCCGAATCTAACAGTGTTTTTAGATTTTTAATTTTGGGTCCAGTTTTCAAAATAGTCTACATTAAGGTCCAAAGGGTCCAAAATTAAACTTTGTTTGATTTTAGCAAAAATTGAATATATATGAGATTCTTTGATATGCTGAATCTAAACATGTATTTAGATTTTTGATTTTTGGCCCAGTTTTCAAGTTGGTCCAAATTTGGGTCCAAATTACACTTTGTTTGATTTCAACAAAAATTGAATATATGGGGTTCTTTGATATGCTGAAT